GGCGGGGAGCCAGCGCCGACCGCTCGGCAGCATCAACAAAACAGCGGCTGCTCCAGCCTCCGCGGAGAGCGCGGCTCCTCCGGGAGAGCCGGACTTTGTCCGACCCTCGAGATTAGCCGGAGATTTAAAAAGGGAGAAGCAGCTTCCTGCTAACAGAGATAAAGGCGCTTCCTGCCGGCTTCTCGTCCCGGCTCCGTCCTGTTGTGCGGATCACACCCGAACCGGGTGTTGAACCGGGTGTTGTGTTGGGTGCATCCGAGTGCGCTGCAGCGCCTGTTCCTTCTGCCCGTGCCGGTTCCTCCCACCACCCCCTTCCATAGAGATGCCCTTTCCCAGCCGCTCTCCTTCCTCCTCACCTGCAGCAGGGCCCTGAGCACCCAGCCCTCCCCAAGAAGCTGCAGCTCAATCCATTCCTCTGGAATGAGGAAAACGGGAGCAGGTAAGGGCTGAGAACGGAGAAACCGGCTGGGGTGTCTGTCAAAGCACCCGAGCTTCCCCTGAGCCCTGTGTGACAGCAGTGGGGGACGATGTGAGCCCCTCTGTGCAGAGGAAGGTTTGGACTCTGCAGCTCAACGTTATCCTGAGCGTGGGCTGCAGCCTGAGCGCACAGACCAGGCAGGGCACACGGTTGATTTTATTCAGATTTACTGAAGCAGCTCCAGGGTGAGTAATAAACACACGCAACTGCTGTATAAAAATATAGAGAACCAGCCCACGGGCAAGTAACTGTCAAGTGTTAGGAGACTTTGGGCAACTGCCTCTGGTGCTGCCTGCGCTCCGAGTCACAGAGACGCAGGGAGCAGCAGAGCCCAGACCCGCGGGCGAGCTGGAGCTTCCTCTCCTCTTCCTGGTAAGCGCCATTCAAAGCAAAAAACAATAAAGGAAAGGATTTAAAAGTTCCTCCAGCTCCTGCCCTGACATCACGTGAGTTCATGGAAAATTTGGAAACTCCTGCAGTCTCCAGGGACAGCACAAGCTGATAGTCCACGGGGGCCTCTCCAGCGTCTCCCCCCACCGCATTTCAAAGCAGTTCAAACCTGACGCTGTGACGAGATCCCTGCGGATAAGAAGATCCCTGCGGATAAGATCCCTGCAAGGGGAACGTCCAGGCGCGGAGGTTCCCGGACTTGCCAGGTAGACGGGAGGCTCCCCTGCTGCCCAGGTCTTCGGTCGGGATCCTTGTGGGGAAGGAAGACCCTGGCAGAATCAGATGTGAAACCTGTAGTGCAGAAGAGAGTGTTATGAATAAGGTGCCTTAAACCCAAGGGCCTTGGAATCTGTTACTGGGGAACTGCTCCTTCCTTCCCTCCCCTTCACTCTGTGCACAGAGCCAGGAGTTGTCTGGAGGTGTTAACAGAAGGTTTTACTGCATCAGATATTCATTTGGGTAGTAGATATCTCCTAAGGGAAAAAGAATAATCCCCCTCCCCGGGATCTGTGATTCACCGGCCTCTTTTCTGCCAAGAGTCTCTAGAAAGGCCTAATTTCAGTTGCAAACTTTTAAAAAAATTAATTGCTGTGTAGCAGAAAAGAAATGGCAAGCAAGGGGCCAGAGACTAATTAAGATGGAGAAACCCTGTGTTTATATGTAGACAGGGCTTGTCTCGAAAATGCAATTTCATACCACGCTGGGACCACATCCCAGCTGTAATCTGTCCTGGCACCAGCCCTGGCGTCCCCCAGGCCGGTGGCTGCTATTTGGGACGCTGGCAGACGCGCGGTGGCACCAGGGGACAGGGCTGTGCTAAAAGCAGCCGCGGCCGGCGCCTGGCGCGCGCTCCGGACCGGGACACCCGATCCCGCTCCCGGGGAGCATTCCCCAAACTCCTCGCGCGGGCCGAGACGCGCTGCCAGGGCTCCACGTTGGGTTTTATGTTCTGTTATTTATACTTATCGTCTCCCGCAGCGTGTGAGCGGCTAAGGAGACGCCTGCAGGGTTGGAGGTCTCAAAGTGCCGGCCCGGCAGCGCGTTCCTGCAGCCCGTGTCGGCGCGGGGCTGCGCCAGGACAGCAGCAAGGATGCCCTTACATCCCCGCTGCCGGCTGTAACCCTGGGGCAGCAGCAAGGACAGAGCTCCGGGCCCAGACTCCTTGTATCCCTGCCGGGGACGCGGCTCTTTACCTGCACGGCCGCGGCTCACGCGGACAGGTACTTCCAGGTGCTGACGAAGGCCGTGGGGATGAGCGAGTAGGGCACCGTGGTGACGCTGCTCCACGTCTCGGACGCCGGGTCATAGCAGTCCAGCGTTTTGCAGCGCTGGGCGCCGCAGTAGCCCCCCACCACGTACAGCCTGTTGCCCGAGGTGACGGCCCGGCAGCTGATGCGCTTGGCGGCCACGTCCCCGAACTTGGACCACTGGAAGCTGTCGCTGTGGAAGCGGTACGCGGAGC